TAATCCGAGAAGGTACTTTGTCCAGGAGAAAACTCTTAAAATTGATTATCCACCTAAAAATTGTTTCTAATTCTTCGGTATAGTCGACTTTTGAATTTTTTATATCTAAAGTCGGATTAAACGAATTCAACCGGTTTTTCAATTAAAATCGATAGAAAATTAGTTAAAATTTACAAAAAAAAAAGACTAAAATTATATTCCGAGTTTTAATAAGATAATTTAGTCAAAGTGTTGTTGTGGAGTGTCGAGTTAGAAATGTACGTTTTAATCGGGTTAGAAAGAGAAAAATCTTAAATTGGTAGACAACTTCAATTTTCATTATGGTAAATTATAACGATTTCTTCTTCTTCTTCTTCTTTTCGTTTCAGAATCGTTGTTAAACTAGAGACGATTGGCTGAAAAATGATTTGGTAAGTGGTCACCAACCAGTTTCCTTTCCACTTGATTACGACTTCAACCATCACAACTAATACAATTTTTGTTCTCAGGCCGCATCCAAACGCCAAAAGAAAACTTTATTCACCAATTATATCGCGTGTTTAAATAATTTATACATCAAAAAAAAAAAAAATCCAATAATATAGTCCTAAATATTCCACATTTTGTTAGAACAATTACTATTAAAAATGTGAGGAAATATTAAAACACGAGCAATAAGTAATAATGTTAAAAATTCGTTCTGTGTGTGTGTGTGTATGTGTGTGTGTGTGTGTGTTTTTTTTTCTTCTTTTAATTTTAATACACCTAAGAAAGAAAAGAAATCATCTTATCGTTACTATATAAAACATAAAAAAGTATCTTTAAAATGCAATTTAATCGAGTTATGTTTATTAACGTTCTCTAATAATTTAATTTTCAAATTATGTTCTCATAATTTTTACTAACTTTTAAAATTTATGATAATTTTTTAATCAGTCTTTCCTGATAAGTTTACAATTAAAATTTAACTAACTCGATCATCTATGGACTAGAAGACGAACTGGATTTTTTTATTTTTATTTTTATTTTTTCTCTCCTTAATCCGAAATATCCTTTTTGTACATAGCTTGATTAAAAATGTGAAAAGAAGGAGGAGGGGAGAAAAAAAGGGTTTTATAAAAGGTTAAAAAAAACATTTTTACTGTTTTTCTTAGTTTGATGGAATAATTAGATTATTAATCATCATTGTAAAAAGTAAGAGGGATAGAAGAACATCCAAGTTGCTAAGTTACATAACTGGATTTGTTGGAAAGATGTTCATCGTTAGTGACTGAAAACATCATAAATTCAAAATTAATTTTTTAGAAACATTAATAACATCGAAAAATAGACCATGTAAAATTAATAATTGCAGCAACGTTAAACAAGAATAACGTTAATTAGATTTTCTTCCTGTCTTGCCTAGTTTTTACTTATAACAACAGATGGAGAACACTTCTGCAGCTTTTTTTTTTTTTTTCTTTCTTCCCCTCTCTCTCTTCTTCTGTTTAGATCGATACGAGTTTAATCAAAATCAGCTTTTAGTTTTATTAATAAATTAATCAATACGAATTATTCTTACTATTAATAATATGCATAATATATAAAAAGAAAACTGATTCAATTTTGTAGGAAACAATACAAAATAAGGGATATTTGGAGTTTTATAAACAACAAAGCCTTTTAATGCTTCCTGTAATTCCCTCGATAACTATAATTTCTTCAGTTACGGACTGTTTAACTCGCATCATACGTTGAACAAAATGGATTCCGAGGAAGTTGTTAAGCCAACTCCTTCCTGGTCAGTGCTTGGACATAACCTCCTTAATGGTGAATGGACGAAGTTAACCAACCAAGTCGACCAATGTGTATTCTATCCTACACATCCAAAGAGACTGTTTCGATTTATACTTGCGTTAACGCTAGCAAATCTTTCTTTGCGTGTTTATTGGTGCTTTATGGCTTAGATAAAACTCCCTAAAAGTCGTTAAAGGTGATCATCATCTTACTTCTTATTGTTATAAAAATTTTCTTTAAAAAGTTTATCAAACTATCAATAATTTATTCTTTTCTTTTTCTTTTCTCTCTTCCTTCTTTTAATAACTTACTCAAAAGTTTTATTTTAGTAAAAATGTCCGAAGTGCGTGTCATCGTTGTCGATGCATTCTATTTTGCATAACTTTCGTATAAATAAATGCAAATCTATTTACCAAAGCACTTATCCATATTTACGCTTTTTGCACATTTTTTCCCCCTCTTATCCCACTTGAAAGTACTATTTAAATTTCCTCAAATGTTTAATGAACGAATAAGAATTAATGAGACTTAAACTCGAAACAATTCACCGTATTATCGGTATTTCTCTGTCTTCTTATCTTAGAATAACATTTTCTTTGACAATTGTTTTCTTTTTTCACCCCCCCTTTTATTTAAATTAATTAAGTGTTTTCTCTTTAAAATTTCTAAGATCCTTTTAAAAGCCTGGAAAGTGAATTACGGGGTTTTATTCTAAATCAAAATCAAATTTAATTCGCTTTATTTATATTATTTTATAAACGCCATTATAATTTAATAAAGATAATTATTTAAATTTTAATAAGTAATTCAAATACGCCATTTGAAAAAATAATATATATTATATATATTATTGTTTTAAAAATTATTAATAAATTAAGTTCTTTGATTGAAATATTTTATAAATAAAATGTTTATTTATAAATACATTAACGTTAAACTAGAGATGAATAATGGTGTCTAGTGTCAATCGGAAATTTCCCTTGTTATATTACTGCTGCCATCTGTTGAGAGATATTTGTACTTACTTATAATTTAATCGTTTGCCTTATATTTTAATTGTAATTATTATTATTACTGTGTAACNAATGATCGAGGTGCTGCTACTTCTTCAATTTCCATTACAGAAATTTCGTATTTAGGTCTGTTGTCAATTGCGCTTTGTAAGAATTCGATGATCAATTGTAAATTTTTTTTTTTTTTAATTATCAGTTTTATTGTTAATGTTCGATTTTAAATTAGGAAAAACTATCGTCTTTTATTAAAGTTACAGTTAAAAAAAAAAAAGAGAAAGTCTCCGAAGATCATCTACGTAATTTATGGCCGGGATCAGAGTTATATACGGGGCGATTTGTTTTATTCATATCGTGAATTTCATGGACTGATTCGCTTTTACGATTACATATGCTCTTGTCTTTTGAAGAATTATATTCTCTGCAAGATAAATCTCTTATATCTTCATTTCTAACATATGATTTTTCCTCCCCGGATGCATGTAACACATTTTCAATGAAAGGAGAATAATAAAAATAGCAGAGAACACAATTTGCAATTTTGTTAATAATAACATGTGAATACTTCTAATTAATTTATCGGATACACTTAAATAATCTATCCGTTAATATTTCATTTTACACGGTCTAAAAAACTCCAGGAATTTTTCGAGGGTGGTCCCGTCCGGATATGTCGGACACGGTCTCTTGCCATCGGCAGTCCCATTGTAGACCCGGTAGAACAATGGACTTACAAAAGGTTCTCGTAGAGCCCACGGGGCGAGTTTTAAAAATCTCAAAAATAAAATAAAATAGCCAAATGGTATGAAGCGTTTGTTATTGTCGATTAATTAACGTTTATACTTTATCCGGGTGAATCCTGACTTTTGGTACAGTGGAAATCCGGATTTTCGTTTTATCTGGATTATAAAACATAATCACTGTCTCAAAAGTATGAAAAATAGACATAAGGAAAATGTATAAACACGAAAGAATTAAAGAATTCCTAAGTAGATTCTCTTGCCCGAGTATAATGTTGCAGTTTGCACGGATAGATTTGTTTTCTATGCATCTGTATACGTTGTTCATTGTTATGCATTCTGTGGGAGTTCCTGAACCACTAAAATTTAATAGTATCAATGCCCCCGATACACAAACCTCCCTGCAAAATTTCAGACATTTTTGACAAAAACCACAGGAGTTATTAAGCTTCAAACAGTAGGAACAAAATCATCCCCCCACACACATACAGAAATTACCCACGAATGTTTTTTACATTTCTCGATGTTTCGAGGTGTCCAGCCTGGGGGGTTTATTTTTTTGCCTGATCGCCATACTTTCTCTCCGTTATAACACAGCCGGGAAAGTAAAACCGAACTATAAAATAACAAGTCTATTACTTTTTATAATAGGAGTATTTAATTGGAATTGAATGGCCATCTGAAGTTATTCTTAATCCGGCATTTCTGCATCCATATAAAAATATATGAAATTGATAACTGCAAAAAAACTTATTGTAAATACAAATGTATATGAATCGTCATCAGAATTTATCAGGGAAAGTAGCTAGCTGCCTCATTCGGCATTCAAGGACGGTAATTTGCGAGGAAATTGGGAAATCGTTGCACTGTGTCAATCAACGATGATATTTCTCTACCGAGGACAATGTTTAGTTGTAACTTACCTCTTCGGCCCATTGTTTTTTTTTTTTTTTGAAAAAGTAATGTAACAAAAAACTTGACAGCTTTTACTAACAACCTATGTGAAATTCCTCAATTCGTTTGTTGTATTTTCTCGAACTTTCTAATTCCTTTTCTATGAACGACCTGGATGGCCGAGTGTTAAGGTGTCAGCCTATCACTTTGGAGACCGGAAAACAAATTCCTCGGTCCAGTCCCTCACCAACTCGCTGCCCCATTGTGGGCCTGGCCGAACCCACGATGGGCATGTTTAAAAGTCTTTCTTAGTATCCACAGGGCGCTAAGAAAGACTTTTAAAAAAGAACTTCTATTATTTTTTTTTTAATATAGTAACATTGCCAATAAGTTTTAATTAATGAAACGAGTTGTGATTTTTGTATTGTTTTAAATCTTCCCAAATACGGGTTAAATCCCCAATCCCGTGTACAGTTTGTTAGAAAACTTTCTTAATAAATTTCCTCAAATTACGATATTGTGTGTGGTCTGCAGAGAAAATTTATCAAAAGAAATAAAAATCATATAAAAAATAAAAACTTTTTACTTACTATTGTAAAATTATCAGAAAAATGATTTAATTTACATTTTTTCTCCACTTCGTATTATTATTTTCAAATCATTTTTTAGAATCATATTCTCACGTCAATGCAAAAAAAAATTTAAATGGGACCAACGAGTTAAATAAGAAAACTAAATGCGAAGTTTGTTATCTTCCGCGATGCGATACTCTTCCTCTTCCACCAAAATTTTTGGCTCTACCACCGCTTCCTCGAGCAGATCCTCCGCGAGAAGAGGCGCCAGCGCCTCCTCCTCCTTTAACTTTGGGTGGAGGAGATTTAGGACGAAGGGCTTCTATTCTCTCCGTACATCCCGTCAGATAGTCGTTGGAGCCTTTACCAAAATAAGAATTATACGTTTCATTGTTAAAATTACTGTTGGTTAGATCGGGTCCCAACGTCAGCCATCCGGGACGAATCGTGGTATCTCTTCCGAAAATGTGCAGTCGCCTTCTGCCTAAACAGAAATGTTCAATGATGTGGAATATCTCTTCTGGTTTTTCTATACTTCCATATTCGGGTTCCTCTGATATGATCAAATCTATGTCAATATTAGCATGGATGAAATCACCGTCGGTGCTGCGTCGAACCGTCCCCTTAATACCCATTAAGCAATGTTCCTGTTTTGAAGGAAAAAAAAAATATATATATAAATAATTTATATATTTTAATAAATTTATACTAATTTCTTAAATTTTAAAGATAATGTTTACTCTATGCTAACATTAATTTAATGATAACGAGCAATTATTTATTGTGACATCGTCACAATGCCAGGTTGCAATTTGTAATCATATTTTTAATGTATTTAATTTAATATATATGCTCGCCACCTCAAATTAGTAGTGCCTTGCTCCTGTACATCATACTTTTTCTTTAACAATAGAGTCGTGCCGATCATCTAACAAAAGAACAGGAAAATTTTTGAATTGAAATAACGACTTCTGGTTTGCATCGAAAGTTCTTATATTAGGGGCAGGAGGCCCCAATTAACTATAGAGACCTACAGTTAATTTTAATTAATTTGAAAAAATTGTAACCTATAAATTCCCAGCTGTTATATACACTACTGGTCAAAAGTTAAGCATAGATCACAAAAAGCTAAATAAAAGCCTAAATAGCCTAATGAAAATTAGTGTATAGGTATCATTCAGTATGAGAACTAACATTTTCCTCTTAAAATAATACAAAATGTATGTATTTTATAAATATGCAAATGAAGAACACTTGGAAAATACTGACATCTTCCCAGAGAGTGCTAGTTCTTCTGAAAGGGTGCTGTAGACAATAAAGAACAGAAAGCAAAATTGATAAGGTGCAAACAGTACATAATCATGTCCAAAGATGTTTACAGGATTCAGAAAGACGGAAAGCTGATGGAAGATTACAGGCTGATCAATTACCGATGTGGAAAGATTCATCATTCTGTTATCTTAAGGCTTTAGAGACAATTTCAAATAAATTTCCTCAAATAACGATACTGTATCGATACTGATAAAACATACTGAATAACGATACTGATAAAACAGGTGAGAAGACCTGTTTTAGGTTGTCCATGAGTGACAACATCTTGGGATGATCATTATATATGGCTCCTAACCAAAAGAAACAGTGTGGCATCTGCATCATCTCTGCATACTAGCTTCATTTCATCCACAAGAAGGTAGGTATCTGTCCCAACTATTAGCAGAAGCTTTCACAAGACTGAACTTTACACCCATCAATCGATGGTATGTGTGCTTTTAACCTCCAGATAGGCAGGCCTGCCTGAAGTGGTGTCAGACTGGACTCTAGAACAATGGGCTCATGTCTTGTTTATGGATGAGTCTAGTTTCTCCCTAGAATCTGACAGCAGATGTATATTGATCTGGAGGGAGATTGGAACTCAATACAAATCATAGAACATAAGGAAAGTTTTTAGTGGTGATGGAAAGACTGTATGGGCTGGGTTTTCATTAGGTGGATGCATTGACCTCCATATGTTTGATGGCAGTTTCATTACTTCTCACAGATATCAGGATGAAATACTGGACCACTATGTCAAACTTTATGCTGGTGCAATCAGAGATGATTTCATTTTAATGGATGATAGTACTTGTCACATCCGAGAAAACCTGGTTGACCAATATCTTTATGAAGAGGGAATAGAATAAATGAATTGGCTTGCACATTCTCAATTTCATAGATCATCTAAGGAAATCTCTAAGGAGATATGTTTCAGTGTCATACCTCTTCCACAAACCCTTGACCTCCAAATCACTCTTTTGCATGAATGGCAATCGCTGCCTTCTCAGTTTTTGCAATTTCTTATTGAAGGTATGAGTTGACACTGTCAAGCTTGCATTAATGCTAGAGGTTGCTATAAAAATTTGTTGAATTACAATAGGTAAACTAAAGAAAAAAGAAATTCATTTACATAAAATTTACCAATATGACATAAAATTTCTTGGGTAAATACCTTCAGAGTAAGGCATTCATTTCTGCATGAAAATTAAGTTTATGACATTTAATCAAGCAGACTTTATTTCTCATATACCTGAAAGAGTTCTTTGCTTAGGCACCATTTTAGTGATTTTAGGCAATAAAAAAATGTTACATCAGTCCTTCTGACCAAAATTTAATTTAAAATAATCTTCCCACTAATAATATAAAATTAAAAACTAGACAAATATCAATAAAAAAAAATTTAAAAAATAATAGAAGAAAAAAAAAGTCAACCTGAGAAGTTACTTTAAAAACCACTGGATGAGAATAGATTCAATAGCCAAAATAGTAGGGAAGAGCACCACTATAGGAACAGTAAAATTGAGCAATTTTTTCTTCTGATTATTTTAAATGTACTTAAAAAGTGAAGTGGATGCAATAGAACTAATCTACATCAAATAAGCTTCTCCTACTCAAATTTTTGGTTAAAATTCCATGACATTCTTTGACTTCTCCTGACCAACTTTGTACAATTCCTTGATCCTCACATCCCTCACAATATGCCATGTTGACAAAATAAAACAGCGTTTGACTTACTATGCTCATAAGCTATTGCTTCTGTACCTTTTAATTAATTTTTTTCTAATTAGCAGTTATAGATTTTTATAATTGATGAATTATTAAAAATTAAATGTTTTATTAAATTTATACAGTTTACCGTTATTAATCCACAAACATAAATCTATATAGCTTAAAAAAAAAGCCATTATTTATTTATCATTCATTAATAAATTCTGAAATTTTCCTTTAAAGTATTTTTTAGTGTTCAGTACTTGAAGTTCATCCTTAACTGATATTTTTGAGCCTTATAAAAATTTTTTCTGAGGTCATCGTCATAAATAAATTCTGCATTTTGGATGTCAAAAAGTCTGTTAATTATGTTAAATCTATGTTAAAAATAATAATCATCATTTATGGCACTGACTTCAATTTTACTTCTATTAGTCAATGTATTGCATCAAGTTAATAATTGTACACTCCTCAAAAGTGAATATGCAACACCATAAAACACCATAATGCATGCAGCCACATGCAAATTGCAGGACAATTAGAGATGACCAAAAGACGCAAATGATTGTGCTTCATATGTATGCATCAAGTTGTGTGGTACCCAGTTTTGGGCTATAAAGACCAGCAGCCAGCTTGAGCCATAAATGCTACTGTATCAGTGATGATGTGCACCAGCCAAACTTTTGAAGTAGTGTAGAAAATGTCTTGGAGATGACAATGAACCGAATACCACCAGTTAACGGCTGGGGAACAATTTTTGTTTTAAATTCCATGACCTTCTTGACCAACTTTGTACAAATTCCCTGACCCTTACATCCCTTACAATACATCACATTGACAAAATAAAACAGCATATGACTTATAACTGTCATCTCAAACAATAAGTGTTATATGTAATAAGACTTACTTATTAAATCTAAAACTGTAAAAAATGTAAAAATTAAAATTAAATTTTGGCTGACTGTATTTATATCAAAATATATATAAATAAAATACATCGAAGCTACAAAACTGTCTTTGTGTTCCATTTAATGATAGAACATGAAGACAATTTTTTTAGGTTTTATATATTTTATTTATATATATTTTGATGTAAAAATTAAAATTAACTCATTTGATATGGTTTGCAAAGTTTAAAGAACTGCTTATGAACTTGGTCTTTAGGTATAGCATCAAAAAATAAAAATTGATGAATAGCACTTATGCATTCTTTACATTTCTATTATACACACCCCACACATTTTACTGTAGTAGTTTTAATATTCTTATTATCAACAGTGTATCTTTATTTACATTGTAAAGAAAAACTTAATAAAACTTTTGAAAAACTGGAAGAACCACATGTTTTTAAGTACAAAATACCCCAATGACATGCATTAACCTAGTATTTCTCAAACTTCACCTTCTGGAAAAACCTGTTTAATACATTTTAATGTTCCATTAACCTAATTTGCATAGTTTGCTGTCAATATATTTGCCTAGACCTAAAGGAATCCATGAACCACACATTGTTGAGAAATCTGCTATCTGAACTATCTCAATCACCTGGACATGAAAATTTTTACTATTCAGCACTACACACCGCACAAAAATTTTCAGTGTTTTAGATGATGCTTTCAATGATGTCATATAAAGAAAGCAATTAAATATCTCAGAATGGATAATTTATAATGCAACACCTGAAAATCTTGCAAGGAGGAATGTGTTGCAGGAAAACGATTATTTAAATTAAAATAATTTAACTTAAATAATGTAAAGGAGTGTTTTAGAAGTTAGACAAAATGTCCACAGTGAAAAAAATAATTTCAATAATATGAAAATTTTACTTTTTACAATATTTATTGGTGTTCATTATTTGAAGTTCATGTTACTGAAATTTTTAAGCCTTATAAAAATTCGTTCTGAGGTCATCGTCATAAATAAATTTTGTACTTTTGGATGTCAAAAAGTCCATTAATTACTGTCTGTGCTAAAAATAAAAATAATCATTTATGGTACGGAATTCAATTTTATTTCTATTAATCAACATAGTGCATCAAGTTTATAATTGTATATGCTAGTCTATGATGATGAAAACATGCTTAAATTAAAGCATTCTTTGAATCTAAAATATGTACGTTAACTTATCAGTTTAGTGTTGCATGTCAAATTGTATGGTAGGCCTACTTACTTGTATGATTTAATATGAATTTTACATAATCTTTTTTATTTATTCCTATAAACTTAAAATTAGAAATAATTCATACATAAACATTCATATTTAATTATCTACTAACTTTTGTTCTTTGGAAAATTGCTCTGGATTCCAGATTTTTTGAATGACATGGATTAGCTATGTTTGTCTTTATCCAACAAATATCTTCACATCTTCTAAATCCCCATTTTCTTAAACACTATTAAAATATTTTAAAGGTAAACTATCAATACAGTAAAAATATCTGAATATAATAAAATGATTTAAAAATATGTACTTGTCTTCCTAAATCAAGTCCATCAGATGATCCACACCATAGAAATATGAATGATCGAGGTGCTGCTACTTCTTCAATTTCCAGTTTCATAATCTACAAGTTTTTAAAATTAAAATTATTCAATTAAATGAAACACTTTAATCATTTAAACTTTTTTATACTAACTTAACATTAATGATTTATATAGGCTAGTCAGAATCGTACATATAAACTCCATTGTCAGTTGTAATAAAAATCTTCAATCAGCATTTGAAGCCAATTATATTGTGTTCAACATGTCTGACCTCAATGATTAACTGGCTTTGCATATTCTTCAGATGTGAATCCTGAGACTTATTTTCATTGAAGTAGCATAAGGATAAAATATACCAAATCAATGTAAAGATTTAACAGAGCCAAACTCATATATTAAATGAAATTTACTATTCTCAGTGTCTCCAAAGTATAGTGACAAACTTTGGATAAATTGAGGAAGCTCAAATTAAAGTTGTAATAAATAATTAATAATAAATTATTGTTAAAAATAAAATTGAAGATAAAGTCTGTTTAAAAAGGAACAACCATTTATTCACTTTCAATGTTCTGAAAAAACAAACTTTTGATAACTGACTTTTCTTTGTAGGCTACTTGCCGTCAAAATTAAAACTTCATTTAAAAACAGAAAATATAGCCAATTAAAAACAACTTTAAAAATTAGAACTGGCAATACCACAGACACTTTCCTTCCATCCTTACCACTTGACCAATACAATTACGTCCAAAACTCAATTAACCAAAATTGACTTGAGAAAGTATTAATTCCAGAAATTACAGTTTTTACATGATAACAATTGTTGATGATCTTCTGTAAGTCTGTTATTGTTATTTTTAATTTTTGCTATTTTGTCTTTTTATTTTGAATTCAAAGTTTCATCAATACAAAGTAGATTGCAATGAAATACTAATGCTTGTTTTTAATAAATTAAAAAAAAAAAAAAAATTGTCTATCATTCATACATATTAAAGTTCTGTGCCTTAATATTCTTTTACTATTGTAGTAGAATTTTTTAAATTTTACTTTATTTAAGGTATTTAATTTTAATTATTATTTTTATTAACAAGTCTTCTAGTTTATTACGAATATGTCCTTTTAATGTCAGAGTCAATAAATCTGGAATTTCCACTAACCATAGTCTTATTTACTTACCCTACTATTATAATTAGTACAGGCAAGTCTCAAAATAATTATAATAAACAGATTCTACTATATTTAATTATACACACTTTAAATTTCAAAATATTAAAAAATACATAAACAAATGCTTAAAGTAAAATCTTTTGCTAGGATCAATAAAACAAAGACTTTTTCTTTATTTCTCAAAATACAATCAAACATATATGTACATAGGCCTACATTCATATAAGCCATTCACAGGCCAAATTGACTAACTCCATTTGTAAATCCTTAATATAATCATTATTACTTTCAAACTTTTTGTGTAACTAATTTTATATATCTTAATGATATATAAAAATACATTCTGCAATGTTTATTTAAATTTAAAGTTTAAAGGGAATTTTAAAAACTAATTTATATTGTCAATTTTTATCCTTTTTGTTTTGTGGAGTTAATTGATTTGGCAAGTGAGTGCCTCATATGTACCCGTACAGTGGACTGTTTCTGAACAGATCTCTATTCTGAACACTTTTCTTTGGTCCTGACTAAACTTAACAGGTTTTGTACAGTTTGGACTCTTTCTACTATGAACACATTAAAATCTGAAATCTCCTCATACTGAATGGATTTGTAGTTTATTCTTAACACATTTATGTTCATAGTTGTGAATTATTCTCATTTTGAACAGGAAAAGGAGAGATAGAACGAGGAAAAAGCATGTGAATATATATTTCCTGTATGGTAGTCATTGTATATGACATGTTTCAGTATATCTGAATATCAAGATGCATGCATTCCAATATTTTAAATAATCTTACACATTTAAATTCTGTCTTCTATAATCATCATCTATATTCATGTACATGCCTTGCAACTTTTAAATTGTGTTTGACATTTAAAAATTTTCCATTGTAACACTGAAAAAATCTCTTTGATTTAAATGACATTTCACATTCTGATATCACCATAGTGTTCAAGAAACAGTTGATCAGATGATGAGACAATGCCATCTCAAAGTGTTTAATGAGGATAAGAACTAAAAGGTGACTTCTATATTTATGTGTCAAGTTAGATCTTAGTGTTTCAATCTGATGAGTCAATATTATCAATGATTATCTGAAAATAAAATGTATTATCTACGCTTAATATCATTCTGATTGTTTCTTGAGAGAATGGCTCACAGAATAAACCTCATTTTAAAGTTAGTCAATATTCATTTTGACATTTCCTAAAAAGTTGTAATAATCTATATCAAATGAAACAAAAGTAAAACAATTTTTCTAATGCAATAACAGTATATAACAATTAATAGTAAAATGAATGTGCTTCTTCCACAAAATTCTTCAATAAACAAATTAAATATCATGAAGAATTTGCATTAAATATATTTGGATCTGCATTCTATTAATTAAGATGTGATCTATTTAGTCTAACATAGAAACACATAAATGATAACAAATAAAATAAATTAGAAAAACAATCCAATCAGGAAAATTGAGGCCTTTTTTTGCAAAAATAGCATATGTCAAAATACACTACTGTTGAGAAACTTGAAAAAACTATTTCTATTCAAACGCATTGCGCATGGACATCTTTTACTTCCATTTACCGAAACAGAGCTATTCTGAAGGTTTTGGTGTATTGCCAGAATATTGCCTTTGACAGAACTTGAAAAAAATTAAATTTTTGGTAACTGGCATATGCTGTTTTTCCCACAGTTCTTTTTGCATGAAAAAGTTTGCATATGTCATTTGAGTCCTTGCAGCCACTGCTGTCATCTTCCTTTTCAATGTCCACATATTATTTATTACCTGCAACACTTGACAGAATCTCATAGAACTTTTTATTCTCTGTCTTCTGTAGGAAAGCTGACTGCTTCACTTTCCGGTTCTTCTACTTGGAATATTATGCATGGCCCAGAAGATATATGACAAATTTGAACAGCCACTTGATCTTCACTGACTTTTATAATCCTTGCTGATTCAAGATTTAAATTATACTTAAAAAATGGGTGATGCTTACATACGTGTAATCAGAAGCAACAACATACCTTCCTGTTTCCTTCCTTTTACGGTTTGTGTGGCTAATTAAACAAACTTTGGCCTCTCAAATAATGTCTTCTTTCCTTTCCTTATTTGGCCACAAACACCCAACAATATCGAGCATCTTCAAACGACGTCAAGGTTACCACAATCCAGAATACTTTCAATGTGGTCGGACATCTCTTAAGTCAACCTCGTTCACAAAAACAGATGTCCGTGACAATTACTGCCTTTTGTTAATAAATCTCGACATTACCCGTCGACGTGCGTTATTTTTGTAAAACCTCAAAATCTTTTACATAGAACATCTCTGTCGGCATTTGCCGTCGTTGCATAATATTACACGGGCGAGTCACCCACCATTCGGGTCGCCAGATTCAACAAAAAACCCATTTTCGCCCAATTCCGACACATTGTTTTTTACAAAAAAGCCCTCAATTTAAGAATCTTCACAAATAAAATCCGAAAAGTTTCGAAATCCCGCAACATACATTAACTTTCCCAATAGCTAATACGGTATTCGATACACGATTAGTTTTTATTTAAGTTTCGAATCCAAAGAGGACGACCGATTCGCATCGCATTTCCCATAAATAATCTCACAAATCTGGACCCGTGATACAATTCTGGAATCCGAATCTCCGGATCTGATGCAACGTTCGCTAATAATTCACAACGTTACTCGATACATACCTTTATAATTCTAACAACTGTAATACCTGTCACATCAATCTATATATATGTATATTATGTACATTAAACCTGAAAATGAATAATTTATCAATAAATCCAACAGACTCTTTATGTGTATTATGTATTATTTGATCTGTATGCTGATGACACAGGTAGAAATGAACAGTGATAAAATATATTAAATATCCGAATATATTTTTAACTTCTTTTGGATTGTAATAAACTTACTTCGTTTCGGTTTTGGATGCAGAAGTGATGTCACGTTCGTAATGGCTTCCTAACACGGCACCTAGATTTTCACTACTTCCAGCGCCAAGCTGAAAAATACGATAAATTCAAATAAAAAGTCACCATGAAAATTACTACGACATTTTGTACCTGTTGAGCTAATAAGCATCGTCTCTTTAACGATTTTTCTTTGACAAATGATATCATCCTATCGTAAACAAAAATCAAACCGCCTAGCTTATTACGATGTCTAAAATTGCCGGATTACGGAAATTACTTTATAGCCGAGATTAAGAAACTGATATAGCATTTATTCAGATAAAAGTTATTTATAACCAATCAGATAGACTCTCGGTAATCCGAACTTTGTCGGGATCCAGTTTGGATTTCCTATATTTTCGTGATTAATTTGGTTGGGGATGTCGATCCGCCATTCTTCGTCCACGATTGAGTCTGTTGCTGTTTAAAGTCACTCATATGCCAACTATATAGTCCTATATGTTGGCAAGAAGCCTTTGTCCTCGTCGCCGCCTCATTGTAGATCTTCTAGTCGAACCCACGAAGAACATGGAAGAGATGGCTCGCAAGGCGGATGCACGCTGGCGGAAAAATTAAGGTAATGCTGAAGATCGGATTCGAATGCAGATCGACTAAAACTTTTCGTGGAAAATTTGGTCCAAAGATGTTGGGCTCGGTCCTTCACTACCTAACTGTTACATTGACCAAAGTCATAATGGATACGGAAAAACAGGCTGTGGATACTAAGAGGAACATCAAAAGGACTAACAGAGCTTTCAGTGTTCAGAGTAGAAAAAATTTAAAATCTGTATCTAACGTTGCAAAATCCGGCCATGAGTAGAAACCGCAAGCTTTCGAAACTCACCAAAACCATCAAAACACTCACATAAGAACTAAGTTGAGTCAGAGAAGGCGACTTGCAAATGTTGGAATGATTAGACCGCAGTTGAATCCAG